GGGAATCCTGTGCCTAAGAGTCATCAATAGATAAAGTAATCATCAAAAATAAACAGGCCAAACATACTAGTGATGACAATGATGACGAAGAAGTTGACTCGGAACTTGGAGAATTAGAACAAGACTCTCAAAATCAAGGGGAAACGGCGGATTCCCGGGATTCCCAGGATTCCCATGGGAATCCCTGGAATCCCGTTGGAATCCTGGAAATCCCGTGGGAATCCGGAATCCGCCGTTTCCCCCTTGATTTTTTTTCTTTGTGTCTTTCGAGAAGTATAATGACATATCGGCATCTTAATTTAATTATTATTGCTATTGATCGATAGAAAGATATGTGATTGATCTATTTGAATATAATAAGAATAGAAAATGTTTAGATGAAAGATTTTCATATTTCATATTTCGATCTTATTGTATTTTTATTTTATTGATAATAATGACGAATCTAGAGTAATAAAAATAAAAACCAAATAAAATAATAAAATAAATAATGATAGAGGACTAGATTATGCGAGAGTATAAACATATATGCATTTAAAGTAATCTATAATAATAAAAAGAAAAATATTTGTATTTGATTGATAGAAATGAAAATTGTTAATTTATGTCTTGATTGGAGCTGAATCAGTAAATAAATTGTCACTAAATTGTTGTGAATAACGTTCACCAACAACATTAGCGTTTTCACAAACTTGACGAATTTGTTTAACTTGTTGATCAGTTAAATGAATATGAACAGCCTCAATATATTCTTCCAAATTTTTAATTTTAGTTGTACCAGGTATTGAAATAAAATCTTCACCTTGAGCTAGAATTCATGATAATGTTAATTGACCTGATGTACAATTTTTTTTTCTTTACTAATTCTTTAATAAGATCAACTAATTGAAGATTTTTAGGAAAATTTTCTTTTGAAAATCTTGGTTGACTTCGTTGAAAATCATTTTCTTCAAAATCATCTGGACTTTTATATTGTCCAGTTAAAACACATTTTAAGATCAATTTAATTTAATTCTTTTTGTTTTTGTTTTTCTTTAAAATCTTCTTATCTTATTCTATATTTATTTATTCATATGGAATGTTGTTTTTTTTTAGTGTTTTTCTAATATATTTTATGTGTGTATTAGTTTTTATCATTTTTTTTTGTAAATCTTCTCTTATTTATTTATTTATCTTTCTTGATGTAGAATTTATTTGTTATACTTTAGGATTTTGAAATGTTTAGCTTAAAAATCGATTAATTTAAAATTTTTATTTGAATTATTTTATAATAAAAAAAATAAAAAAAAATTTCTATTCAATAATTAAATTCTAGTGATTTAAATATTCGTTTATTTGTTATTCTTACTTTTTTTCCTTTGTTCTGGATAAGTTTTGAAATATTCATCAGTAGTATCAATAAAATTTCAACCAAGTTCAATTGTTCTATCGAGAACTTTGAATCTTTCTTGATCAGATGCAGGAGTTCCATAAAATGCTGAAAAAACCCATCGCTCCAAAACCGATTGCTGATACTTGAGGACCATTTTTACCTAATTGATGACTAGGCAGTTTTTCCATTTTGAAATATTTTTTATTTAAAATAAAAACAGATTAACAAAAAAGCGACGTTGCTAGAAGAATTATTTCTAATTTAAATTAAACAGTGTATATGTATCCAACGATAAAAAAAAATAAATTTGCATAACCTTCAGTTAATACCTAATGACATAGTAAATAAAGGTATGATAAATAAATAAATGACTCATTTCGCGAACTAAATATAAACTTAACCTTATTATATCATAAATAATCATTCAAAAAAAACAAACACGAAATAAAATAAGACGTATCGTTAATAGTTGCTGTAGACAAAAGTTCATGACAATTTATATTTCTGTCAATATAACACAACATACAAAGGAAAATACCTAATTAATATTATTAGATTTTTCTTTACTGTCAAAGCATTTAAAATTTTCATTAGTTTAGTAGAAAATAAAACTTTCGAAACTATACGAATTAATATAAAAGATGTTAAGATAATATTTGTCAAATTGATATATGAAACATGATAAAAAATGTTCTTGAGATTTATACGATTATTTTAATTAACCTATATTTCGATAGATTTCTAAAGCATCGTTTTATCATAAAACAAGGTCTTGTAATATCGATAAGAGTATCCTTGAATGTGTGTGTGTCACGCCTTAATGAGCAAGAGGCCAAGGACCGATTTACTTTTCTCCCTATAACCTTCAACTATATTTTCATTTATTATTGATCAATAAGTCATTAACAAGTTATAAATGATATATTAATCATTTATTCATTATTTTTTAATGAGACATTAATTAGAAATTCATTCTATATTAACTAGTTAATTAAATAAGATAAGAAAATTCTTTCGCAAAATTTTATTCAATATTAATTTTCGATTGTATTTGACAATATATTTCATAAACGAAACTTGACTATATCTTACTTATAAATGCTGAAAAATAGTAAGACAATCTTATTTATTTTAGTTTATTTTGTTTATTTTTCCACTCTTATTATTTCCATTGATATGTTAAATAATTATTTATTATTTAACCGTTTTTTTTAAAAGGTAAATCATCATATTTATTGAGATTTGTTAAAAATGCTGAATCTTTAATATGATAATTAATGGCTCGATAAACAAATCTGATGTTAAAATTCGTATATTATTGTACGAGTCTTATTTCTTATCAAAAACGCAAGTTACTTTTTTTTTTGTTAACAATCATAAAACATCGAATACTCTTAAAGGCATGTCACTAATTTTTTTTTTTGCTCTTATACTGAGAAAAAAAGCATTAAGAAAGTCGTAAATACTCGTATACATCGTATGAATTACGATTCGTATTTTTCTCATATCATATTAAATATGTATCGAGACAGTATTTCAAGATATTTTTGTTGTTATTTTTTTATTATATTAAGAATGTCTTGCTCATTCATTTATTTGACTATTTAAATAAATCTATATATGTGAAGTTTATATAATGAGAAACGAGATAAATAAAATAATGTAACATTGGTGAATATTAGAATATTGTTAGAAGAAAAAGCAAATCTATATGTAATAGAATGAAAAATTGAAAATATTTTTCAATAAATTGATAAATGAATAAAATAAAGACAACATAAATATAAATGTCTGTTATCTTACTTTGTTAATGTTAATAGACTTACAGATTTATAATGATAAACGAGTGATGTTTATGTTTATTCACATTTAACTATTGATTTAAAAGCGAATAATAGATCAATAAAAATTTGTAATCACTCGTTAAATACTTTTTCGAATAGACACAAAATAAAATTTCTCTATCAGATAAACAAATGAAAATATAAATTTCATGATAGTGACATTGATATAGAAATAAAAAAAAAGAAAAAAGAGCAATTTTATGAGTTTTATTACTTCAGTATCAATTGAGAATGTGCTTTTAAATATAATAAGTCGTCATCGATTTTAAATGATTCACTATATCGACTATAATAATTATTAATTATTTTTCTATTGTTACATCATCATCATCATCGTCAGGTATATATATATATATTTCAAGTTCGTAAATGTTTATTTTAATAATACAATTGTTAATATAACTATTAAAATATATGCTTTTATTTTTGTTTTTTCTTCATGTCTCTCTCTCTATATTATTTAAACAATGTTTGTTAATTCATTCGACTAATCCGTTGATTGCATAATCTATTAGTTTTGTATAATAGTGTCATTCATCTCTTTCATCGAAATATATAACTCTGACATGTCCATTACAAATATATCGAAGTCTTTTGCTTTTCTATTATTTGTTTACAGCAAAATAAAACTGACTTTTTTTTGTTCTAGTGTTTTGTAGGCACGTTAGCAAAGATATAAAACAAAGATAATAGCTATAGTTAGATATATAATAGATAGATTCATATAAATATCTGAAATTTCTTAAGTGTTGAAGAATCTTTCATTTTTCTTTTGTGATTATGCACAATGAAAAATACATAGAATATATCTAAAATAATTTATAATCAATATTCGAGGGATAGGCGGCAGAGCGTTGTGAATCTATGGTAGGCTCAACATTTTTATGATCTTCTCACCAAGAAGTTAAATATAGCAAGTGGATAAATATTTTGTATTATGACATTAAAATAAAATACAATTTATATTCATAGTCTTCGTACTTTCAATGAAATTTTCTAATCCAAATTCAATAATTACTTCGAAGATACCATATCGTTTTTTTTCGATTAATTTTTTAGTGACTACTCACTCTACATATTTCTGCAACAATTAAAATGACGATCTTATAACAATTAAACTAAAACTAATCCTTATTCTTGCCTGGAACTCGAATCCCAACTCGATTAACAGAAACTCTCATATTCAGATATGATCATGTTCGGAATTCACTCGAATACTTGTGATTATTTTCAACTCTTTAGTAAACGAATAATTATTATTAATAACAATATAAAATTCTTCAATTATTTTAAGTGATCATATATATATATCAAGATAATGTAGAAAACTACAAAAAAGACACTTCATACGACACGATATTGATCATGATAGATTTTCACATAGGATACGGGGAGAAACCAACTTTGAATCCTCAACGTCATATTAAAATCGAATTAAATTGGTTTTTTTTGTGTCGTTATTATGATGTTTCAAGGTTTTTTTTGTATGTCTTGATGTCTCCTATTACTTATTGATGGTATTGATTGATAATAGATGACATTTTAATCTCCCTTATCATTCCTTCTTAACCTGATTGTCTCGTTTTAACTTCTCCGATAACTATATATATATATCTAATTAGTTTATATTTTACTTTGTTTCTTTATCTTGTTTTATAAATAATCAATAATTAGATGATTAAACAAACACTGTTATAGTTGATATAGTTTGTCGATAAATGTCAATAAGTATCATTATATTCTTACTAGGAATATTTTGGTTGTTCATACAATATGATAAGTTAGCAAAAATATTCGATCTAGATTAGTTAGTGATTCGGAAATCTTCAAGTTTATACTTAACAAATACTTTAATTCTATTTGATGATATTGATACAATTTTCAAATGATCTAGAATTCAATTTGTTATGGAAGTCAATGGAATGTTTCAGTGTTTTGACAATAAATTTTTGATTGAAAAAATCATAAATAATATTGATTCAATGTATCAATAATGGTTTAATATTAATTAAATAATAAATTTTCAAGGATGATTTCTCTAGGTGTTCGTAGATAGAATAGATGTTCATTATTTCTGAATATATATTACTAACATAATACTATTAGATTGTTTACGATTAAAACAGTTAAAATTGTTGACATTCAAATAGAAAAAAAATCGATAGAAATTTCGACAATCTATACATAAAAAATAAGTTGTTACTGTTGTCGTTACATCGATGGCACCATTGACATGAACATATAATATCTCCTAGGTACGAAAAGTGATGTTCGTAGACTAATTTTAGTTAACATCATTGAAATTGATATTCGAACTTGTTCAGTATGGATTTTTGTTGGTGTTTGCATACTTAATCAATGGCTCAAGGAAAAACAAAGAAAGTTAGATGAATGATAAAAATTATGCATTATTTCAAGGACAATAAGTATGATTATACAAGTAAATTTATAGTAGTAGTCTACTATGGAAAACTAAAACATTATAGAAAAAACAAGAGCAATAGTTAAATAATAGTTTTATTCTCTATGATTCCGATTAAAAGATAAATATTGCTATGAATTGTAATTCAGTAATACAACTATATATTGAGTAAATAACGTCAAAATTACTGAAAAAAAAACACTAATAAAATATTTCAATATGTTCTTTTTTTTTTATAGAACTGGAAAAAAGCTATTTCTTACTAATGAGAACAGAACATAGGAAAAAAAACACACATTTTTTTGCTTTGTTCTTCTAGTATAGTTGAAGAAAGATTAGAGAATAGAAAATAAAAATCAATATCTTTTAAATAATAATTGAATAAGTTCTATTGATTATATTCTCTCGTTAACAATCGATCGAACGGTAATCTTTTATTTTATTAATCAATGTATAAAACAGATTTCATATAATTAATATCACTATATTCAATAGATTTTCTTTTATTGTAATAGTTTGTATATATCGATATATCAATGATAATAAATATAATTCTGTTTTAGTTTGATTTATTTGTTCTAGTAAAAAAATAAAAAAGTAACTATGCAACACAAAGATTAGTTCTCATATTGAAAAGAAGAAAAAAAAAAGTAATTCTTACACAGAAGAAAAAGAACAAACATATTTCAATAATTTATTCTTTCTTCGCCAATCACATGTTAATAAAACCATATGATTTAAACCATTTTCAATTGATATTATTACATTTGAGTTTGTAGTTTTACTAATTATATTTAGTAAATCAAGATTTTCTTTTTTTTTTGTGACATCGTCAGAGCTTTTTACTCGCATAATAATCAATAAAAATATTTTTATATTGTCTTTTTTTTTTATTGTAGAAGTTTCATTATTGAACAAGAAA